GCAAAGCTGGAGTCAAACCCAGATGTGATTCCAAAGCTTATGGTCAGGAAGAGGGCTAAGAATAACGTACGTGTATCATTCACCCTGTGCCTGGGCGACTTCCATAGAAAAGTTGTATGTCCAGGATACTGGAAGGAAGAGGAAGCCACGCATGATAGAAACACCTGGAAACACTTCCCAGAAGTGGTGTCATTTGAGCAGGGCCCTGAGGATTAGTCTGGGTTCTGGCAGGCAGAGATGAGGAGGGAAGAGAGTGTTAGAGGAACCACCAAATGCAAAGACAAGGAGACTGGAGAGCATGGGGTTTGTTTTTGGGATGTGGATGTATCCAGTAATGTGTCACCAAACGAGTATAAGGGGTGCTAGCTATCATTATTTGCATTTTACACATTAGGAAAATGAGGCACAGAGAGGGTAACTGATTTGGCCAAGGTCACACAGCTAAGTGGCAGAGCTGGGATTTAAACTGCCATCTCTCTGACTCCACTTCTGTAGGGTGGAGAGCACATATGGATCTCAACTCAGTCACAACTAAGAGAAAGGCTCTAGTACCTGCGGCTTTTGGGGGCAATCCCAAGGCCAGCAGCCCAGCCATACCAGAGGTTCACACACCAATATGCGCCCGCACACCCCCACCTGGAAATGTAGTGGGGAGAACAGTGGGACAGGACAATGTTCAAGTTCTGAGACACCAACAGTAAGAATCGACCTTTGCACCACACCCAGCTTTCTTCTCAGTTTCACCTTGGGATCAGCCTACTCTCCCACATTCTTTTACATTTCATAATTACTGCTCATTAACCATGTGCCAGACCCTTAAACAACATGGAGGCATGAGGTTGGCTTAGAAACCTGTGGGAGGTCACGTAGTGAGCAAGTGGCTGATGGAGGATTCAGGCCTGGCCTGGGCTGCTCACCACAGTGCTGTTCCCCTCTCTTGGGGTAAAGAGCAGGGAACAGGTGAGGAGATGGGCTCCTGTGAAGCCCGCCCTGCTTCGCCTAATGGCCCTACAAGGCAGCTAGTCATAGGTGAGTCTCAGGAGGTCTGAATGGCTTACCAGGGCTGGTGGAGCCAACACAGGAGACCAGATCCTGACCCTCCCTGCTGCCCCACATCCACCTGCCCTCAGAGTCTCCAGGCCACCACTTCTCCTCCAGCCCATCCCGAGGCAGCAGTTGCTGATGGACCCTGAGCGTCCGTAACACCACCACAGCGAAGGTGCTGGCCTCAGGTTCTTGTTACCTGAGAACATCTGCCTGCAGGGGACAGGGACCCCAGGCCACTGGTAGTTCTGTTTATGTGGGTTTTAGACTCAATGAAGTCATGGCTGTTTTCATTCTATGGACAGAGACTGCCTTGACTCTAGAGGGACATTTATAGCGCCCCAGGCAATATCCACAGATGGGCCAGATGCTGATGTTGGCAGACACACAGAGATCCTGTTTGAGAAAGGTAAGGTATAAAGGACACCAGAGGGGATTCCCTGCTGTGGAATTAAGAGGAGTCACCAAGGTAGTGATGAGAGTGGAGACTCAGCTCCATGTGTTTGTGGAGGAAAGAAGGGAGTGTGTGTGTATTTATTCATTAATTTATTCATATCTATTCACTCAGCAGACATACGCAGGGAACCTATTATGTACCAAAGAATATGTCAGGCGTCAAAGAAATATCAGGGTACAGAACAGAGCGAATTTTTGCCCTCACAGAGCCTCTCACTCTGCTGGTGATGATGGACATTAGGGAAGGGGAACAGCCGACGAGCACATAAATCAAATACCTAAGTTAGGTGATGGGGCCAAGTGACACAGACGGAAACGAACCAGGGGAGGAGCTGGGAGGTCTGGTGGGTGGAATTTGTCTGGAATGGACCATCATTCTCGCTCCAAAAGGAGCTAGAATTTGGTTCTTTTTCTCCTAAAGAAATGGGTCTTGATTTAGAGAACCACGATTCACTCCTCAAAGGTAATGTGCAGGCTAAGCTCCAGTATCTCAGCGGAGAATGCTTAGAGCCAAAATGACATGAGAGTGGTTTATCTTGGCTCCTCATGGAGTCAGTGCACTCTCAGCTGATGGGGTAAGGGAGGTGGTTTGTACCCAGAAACCCGGGTCCATTGTCCTAAGGTAGGGATGGGAGCAGCACTTCCAGGAGCAAGTGTGGGTGAAGACCAGAATGTTCTGGTGTTCTATCACACTGTAGGGTGACTACGTTAACAATAAGGTATTTTATATGTCAAAGTAGCTAGAAGAGAGGATTTTGAATGTTCCCCACTACAAAGAAACAAGAGATGCTGTCAGGGATGGGTACACTAGTTACCCTGAGCTGATGATTACACAATGCGTACATGTATCAAAACATCACATAGTACCCCGTAAATATGTACAATCATTATGTATCAATTTTTTTAAAGACCAAAATGAATATGTGCCACTGTGCCATAGGTTACCTGTAAGGTACAGGGCTTCTTGCTGTCTGTTGTGGAAGCAGTCGGGCCTTTTCACGACTCCCAGTGAAATGGCCAGGAGTTTTGGGGCTCAGTTTTTCTGAAACAAAGATATGGACCCAGAGTGTGACCGCAGCCCAGAATGTTGTACATGTTAAAGTGTGGCCTTGGTGCATGAATTAAATTTGAATCAGCTGTCTTCTGTTTAGGGCCTATAAACCTCCCCTTCTTTCAAAGTCTCTGGTGGCCAAAGAAACACAGATTTATGAGAGAGTGGCTTTGCTTTTTAAACTTAAGCCCTCAAAAGGGGACTTCCCTGGGAATCTCTATTAAGACATTTCTGAACTTAGTTTTTTTAAAAAAAAATACTAAATATAATCAATTTTGAATTATTTGAATTATTTTCATTAATTGCCAGTCATCCAAAAGAACTGATTGAGCACCTTTTAGGTACCAGACACTGTTCTAGGCACAGGTGTGAGCAAGATACATGGTCCCTGTCCTTATGTAGTGCACAGATGGACCAGATGCTGCTGTTGGCACACACACAGAAATCCTGTTTGGAGAAAGGTAAGGTATAAAGGGCACTAGAGGGGATCCCTCAGCAGGGAATCCCCCCCTGGACACAGAGTAAATGGGTAGTCATAACATGGGGCTCTGAGAGGGGAAGGAGGGGGTGTTTTAGGAGATACTTAAAGATAAAGGTCAGGGATGGCTTCCTGGAGGAAGGAGTTAGCTGGATGAAGAGTTGTGGGAACAGCGTAGATGTCCAGGTGAGAGAGGGGCCGGCCTGGAGTGGAGAGGGCATGGAGCGCACAGCTAGAGCGTCATAACCTGGGGAGGGCGATTTAGGGAGGTGATGGAGAGAGATGCTAGGGCTGCCAGAGCAAAGTATCACTGACTGGGTGGTTAAAACAACAGAAATTTATGTTCTCATCATTCTGGAGGCAGGAAGTTCGAGATCAAAGTGTTAGCTAGGTTGGTTTCTCCTGAGGCCTCTCTCCTTGGGCAGTCATTGCCATTTTGCTCTTTGTCTTCACTGGGCTTCACTCTGTGCATGTCTGTATCCTTATTTTCTTTTTGTATGAAGGCATCAGGCATATTGAATTAGGGGCCTCCACTTACAACCTCATTTGAGCTTAATTACCCTGTTAAAGACTCTATCTCCAAATACAGTCATGTTCTAAAGTACTGGAGGCTGGGACTTTCAATGTATGAATTTTGTGGAACACAATTCAGCCTGTAACAGATGTATAGTCACTGGATCAAGCAAGGCATTGGAACCATGTTAAGAAGCGTGGACTTTATCTGGAAGGCAAGGGGGAGTCACTGAAGAGTCTTACACAGAGTGGCAATGCTCATGTTTGCATTTGGCAGAGATCTTACAGCAGTGAGGGGAAACTTGTAGAAGGATAGAGTTGGGTTCAGAAGCTATGAGGATGTTGTGTAAGAGAACTCTTGGCAGAGGGAGATTAGGAGGTCGAAACTACAGGAACTGTGATGGGTCACTCCTCAGGGGCAGGGCAGGGGAGTGTCAAGGTGAGCTGGAGTTCTGGTTTGGGCCACTGGGTACACCATGGAAATCTTCCCTGAGAATCGTAGTCTGGGTGAGGGGGAGGAGATGAATCCAACATTAGGGGGGCATGCTGAGTTTCAGGGCCCTGTGGGAAATCTGAGTGGGGCCGGTCTCAAGCTCCGGAAATAATTCTGGGTTCGAGATATGGATTTAGGACTCATTAGCTTGAATGGTAATTGAGGCCATGGAAATGGATGCAGGAGGGGGATAGACATGAGTTTGAATATTCAGAAAGGAGCTGGCAACTCTTCTTACCGATGCTAGAGATGTGTGTGTACCCAGAATGACTAACACCTCCACTCATATGAAGGCCCAGTTAATCTTCAAGACCACGTTTTCCTCTCTGAGGAACCATTGGGATCCTGGGGTAAGAGAGGGTCTTGGGTCTCCTGGGCATTTGCTCCCTTCCCAAGATCTGAGGACATTTAATTAATTTTGATACTTAATGAGTCACTGGTTGCCTTCCCAGCTGAGTCAGCCAAGGTACCCCTCCTGGGAAGCACAAGCCAGGCAGCTCCAACCACTGGCCTTGTTTGTCAGAGGGACGGGGCGAGAGAATGGGGTGTGACATCCCAGACTAGCAAGCTGTAGTGTCTGACTACATGGAGGCAAGGAAAGACACCAGTGTACAAAAGGTATTTGCTTGGCTTAAGGGTGTGTGATGCATATTTTTGGTAGTAGTAGCAGATTTGTCTTTTTAAGATGTCTTTTTTGAGCCACTTTTAAAATAACAACAGCTGAAATTTATAGAATCCCCACCAGCTTCCAGACAATGTGCTAAGCATTTTACCTGCATTGTCTCAATTCATCCTTACAAGCAAGCACTGTAGTTATTCCCATGGTACTAAGGACATTATAGAAGTCACACGATGTGACTTTTGAGGCTACGACATGAAAGCATCTACCTGGCTCTCTCACTTGTCTCAGGATGTATGCCTAGGGAGCCACAAGCCAACATGTGAAATGTCTGGTTACCTTGCAGATGCTATGCTAGAGAGAGCATGTGGGGAGACTCCACAGAGAGTGATGTCCAAGGATCCTCTGCTGTTCCCGCCTTTGAGCCAACCCAGCTGATGCCAGTAGAGCAGAGATGCGCTGTCCCGACCAAGTCCTGCGAAGATTGCAGATTTGTGAACAAGTAAGTGTTTTTGCTTGAAACCTTTATGTTTTTGGGTGCTTGATCATGTAGCCCTAGGGCTAACTGAAACATAGTTGGAAGTGACGAGATTCAAGGTCATATAGCTGCTTAGGGGAAGAACAAAGAAAGTATACTCTCCTTGCATTCAAAGCCTAGTTCTTCAATTTGCTTGCGGTGTGACCTTTGGCAAGCTACTGAATCTCTCTGTTCCTCAGTTTTCTCATCTGTATGATAGGGATGAAGATGGTATTTGTTCAGAAGGTAGTGATGAGAATAAACATGTCATTCTTGGCATGTAGGAAAAACCTAGTAAGTAGCTGGGTTGGGGTTTCAATTCTGGCAGTCTAACCCTAGACTCCTAACTGGCAAGCTCAAGTCCAGAACAGTCCCACCAATCCCTGAAAAGAAGGCCAGACAGCAATATCCCAGGCACTCTCATTTTTTACCCCATAGGGTGTGATTCTGAGTTCTCCTTGGCCGCCCTCCTCTGTTCAGTGGGCCTTGATACATGATTCTCTGAACTGAAGGCCGCACCATCACTCCTCTCTGTTTAGTGCAGCCCAAGATTACACTGGCTTTTTTGGCAGTCACATCACATTGTTGACTCATTCTGAGCTGGCAGTCAAAATCTTAAGTGTTTTTGTCACATGTGCTAGCATCAAGCTGCATTCCTTCCCTTCTAGGATTGGTGCAGTTGGAGTTTTTAAAAATCCAACCACAGAATCGTCTAGCTTATTAGATTTTGCTCATTGTGGTGGCGTGCCTAGGAAAGAATCCAGATGAACCCCTCTCCTGGGTTCTTGGAGATACCCTGTATCCTTTTAATAGACCTTTCTTTTTTTTCTGAAGTCTGTTTGGGTGGCTTACTGGTACTTGCAACACAAAAAGTAAGCCATAGACTGACTTCCGGGTGGTCTGTGCGCAGGAAAAAAGGAGGTGTGGCAGGTGTGCAATGATAGAGGGCAGAGAACGCAGATGCCAGGAGCGTGTGCCGGGTGCCATGTCCCAGCCATGGCAGACCTTGCTGTGGATCATGACTCTCTTTGTGCTGAGTCAGGAAATGGCCTCTACTTTGATTAGCTGCCACCTGAGTAGGACAGAGCTGAGGACAAAGGACAGAGCTGAGGACAGAGACTGCTTTCAAAGTAGACCCTGGCATCATTAATCAAGCTTCTACCTCACTGGTTGTTCAGATGGTTCCCAATTCCCCCAAATGTGCTGCCATCTCACCCTCATTTTCTCAGCTTGCCCACAAAGATAAAATGATATTTTTTATCAAGTGTCATTTCTTGCTGAATTTAGAGAACTATGAGCTCTCTTAAGTGGCCGCTTCCCTTGATTCTGCTACTCCGGCGATACTATGTACAGTGCTTGCTGAGCCAGTCACTGGGTGGTCTGTGGTGCCACAGAGGGCAGGTGGGTCAGAGTGGACTGAAGAAAGTATCAAAGTCTGATGGACCTCACTTCTGCAGTCAGTGGGGGATTTTCCCAGGTGCTTTAGCTCAGGAAACATATGGTACTCAGTGGAATGCACCCTGGGCATCTATAGTTCTCTGCATAGCTCTTGGGCAATACGGAAGCACAGTGCTGACTCAAGCAGAGCCTGAGCCATCTCTACACACTTTTCCACCTTGTCCTTGAGTCCTACAGATTAGGTCCTAATTGATCTCTATTCTCCCTGCCCCCTTACTCTCCAGCCTAGGGACATCTTTCTATTCCGGGAATAGGACGCCTTACCTTTACTCCACTTACATTCTCCCAGATATGTTGTTTGTTCACGTAGCCATCCTATTTGCCTGTGCTTAAGCCCTTGAAGCTCAAAATTAATCATTAACTTCTGTTTTTGGTCCCCCCTTGCTTTCTCTTATGTCAGCTGTTCCTTGAGGGAACGAAGGCAGACTGCTGGGCTAAACGCAGAAAAGGGAACAGCCCAGGGGTATAAGGACATTGTAGAATAAAGAGCACATCGGTTAATAGCTTAGAAATGTTATCCCTCTAGACAAGTATCAGAAAGTTGCTCAAGCTTGCTCAGCAAATTATGGGAACTGATTGTAAGAGGCAGCTTATGGAAGCCAGGGTTGGAAATGGCTGATTGGTCCGAAGTGGAACAGGCGCCCGGGGGACGTGCTCTCACAGTTTCTCACGTCTTCAGGTGCCATAGTCTCTCGTCTCTGGCTCTTCTGAATCTCTGCCTTGCCTCTTCTCTCTCTGGACTGGCTTTCACTGCATTGGTGGACATTTGACATGAGGATACTCAGCCCTCTCCATGGCCCAATTGCCCATAGCCCAATTGTACCCATTAGAAAAGCTGCCCCTTCAAGAAATATTGTAATTGCCCTCTGCCAGGAGACTGAGTTAAAAACACACAAATAAGCGAGGACCGTACATGCTCAGTAGCCCACTGCTGCATGTTTGTATGCAGTGATGGCAAGTGTGACCTGGAACTCTGGCCTCTGCTTATCCCCAGAATTGGCCGGCAGAGGAGGAACATTCTTGAGCCTCAGTACCCAAAGAAGGGGAAACTCATTGGCCCAGCTTAGACCCAGTGTCTGCCTACCTGTGGTTTAGTCAGCTGCGATCGGGGGCAGGAGACACCTGAAGGAGCGTACCTTGGCTGTGTGGGTGGCAGACATCCCACAGTGCTCATGTAAGGGGGTTAATCGCATTAACTCTGGGTATTTCTTTGGCATCCCCCAACTAATTTTACCATAATATTTACAATATTGAATTAGTACATCTAAGAATAAAAGTTCTTTGACAGAACTCACATGGTAGTTGCTTTTGGGACTAAACTGCTCTGCAGGTCACCTAATGTACATGTATTATCATCCACTATTGTTGCTTCAATTGTATGTATCCACTTTCACATCACTTCCTAGGTAAACCTTACTTCCCCCCGTAGAAAACATGGTTCACTCAAATGAAGTAAATAAAGGGGCTTTCCCCAAAAGTGTGGGCAGAATTAAGGGAATCTGACAAGGAAAGTGGGAGCTAAGAAGGCCTGGCAGCCATTCGCCCTGCTAAGCTAGAACAGGCTGTGGAGGGAGCAGTTACTGGGGCCAGGAGAAGGTGGTGGTAGCTGCAGGGATGTAGGTCAGGGAACCTCATGGGACCTGTAGCCTTATGCAGAGGGAAGCAGCCAACTTATAGCCACCTGTGAGGGAGGGAGCTAGGCAAATAAATGCCTCCACCTTGTTCTCCTTCTCTTCTCCAGTCTCCTGCCAGTGCCCCCACTGGTTGAATCTAGCTGGGGGCCAGTGGACAAAAGATCCTGTTTCGGATGCATAAGTGTGATCCATGTAGGGGTGCAAAAAAGGATAGAAATAGGTGGAAAATAGATCTGGGAGTGGCAAATGGAAACTATCCAGCATGTTCCAAGTTGCATTCCTCTGTGATATGCCTTCCCAGACCACTTCACTGCCTCATCGTAATGCTCATTCCAGTCTGTCATATCTCCTGAAAGATTAGGCACGCAGAGCATATGCCTCATGGAGTGTAAGGACTGTGTCTGACTTGTCGTTGCTGTACGCCCAGAGCCTACCCCTGCGTCTGATTGTCAATGATGTGTAATGGAGCTTGGAACATGAATGGGCGCATGTCTGATGTTCCCACGTGAACATTCTTTGGGAGCCCTTTGGGAACAGTGAATCTCCCAGTACCCTACTTGGATACAATAAGGACTATTTAGTGAAAGAACATTCACAGTTGAGCGAATGGATGAATTCTAAGGGTGGATCACTTTATCATTTAAAAAATACCTGAATGTCAATCTGTTGATACCAAGTTTACATCAGAATTCAACCTCAAATTAATCAGCTTCCATTCGGATCTGTTCCTTTCTTGGAGACATGGTAGCATATATGTGCCTCATTTCCTCCTGCTTTGTATCCATATCCTCTTGGTCTGGTGGCACAGCCTCCATTTCTTCACAAGCAACCTGGGATGGTTAGCTTAGGTCCCCAGCCCAACCCTACTCAAGGGATGAGCTCCGACTAAGATGGTGACAAACAGGCTGTCCTGGGATTTTGCCTCTCGAAACCGTGGATCATGTGCCGCTCCTCTCCTTCTGTTTTCTTTCTTTTTGGCTTAAGTTAAGCAGAGGTGGTATTTATTGCTTGTATTCAAAGAACTCATATACTCAGACACCAGGAGGAGAGTTCCAGAATTATCAGGCTATATGGTGGCATGGTTAAGATCTTGAGCATTGCAGCTACATTACTTGTGTTTAAATCCCAGTTCTGCCATTTTTTGTCTGTGTGACCCTAGGCAAGTTACTTATGTTCTCTGTGCCTCAGATTCCTGATCTTCAAAGTGGAAACATTAGCTGAGATAAAGCATGCAAACACTCTTAAAACAGTTCCTAGTACATGGTGAACATGCAGCACATATTATCAGGGTTTTGACCATCCAAGCAACTTGAGAAGAAAAAAAAATGATGGAAGTATACTTCTTTAAACAAAAAGAAAAAAAATCACAGATCATGGAATAAATTGGAATGAAATCAATGATTTTTCAAGGGCTGCTATGTCTTCCTACCCACTCTGATGTGGGTTAGATACAGAGAAAAAAGAATCTGGAGCTGTTTCCAAAGGTGGCATTTAAACATGAGCTTGTGCCTTTTTATTTTTCAAGAAAAATCAGAAAAATCAGAGGCCAGTGGCTATATCTGCTGTTCTCTATTTCTTTTCTGGGAAAGTTCATGAGTTCTTGGCCCCAAATAAGCTTAGTTCTCTACCGCTTCCCACAAGGAAATTAAATTTTCAGGTCCTGCACAAAAAGTTTAGTTATCGCTAATATAATCATTGGTGCTGTCACTGTTGGTCTGTAGGAGCCGAGTGGAAGGATGGAATTTGACAGCAATAAAAAATTCTCCCTCTGCCTCTGCTCTCAGACACTTGGATACACATTAACACACGTGTGCACAATGTGACACTCATGCTCAGGCACACACATGCACAACCACACACACCCATAAACAAAGGGATGGCTTTTCCAGAGAC